ACACACACACACACACACACACACACACACACACACACACACACACAAGAGTGCACAAACAAAAAAGAAAAGAAGAAACTGGAGGAAGTTATATACAAATGTCACAATGAGAGCAACTAAAACTTAACGAGGCATACAACAACAAACATTCAGTTCCTGTCTAAAAAATTAGAAAAAATAAATGATGGCGCATGCCTTTAATCCCAGCACTATGGAGGCAGAGACAGGCAGATCTCCGAGTTTGAGATCAGCCTTGTGTACAGAGTGAGTTCCAGGATGGCCAGGGCTACACGGAGAAACCCTGTCTCAAAAAATCAAAATCAATCAATCAATCAAGCAAGCAAACCCAAATGAGACAAGAGTCATAGCTATTTTCAACTAACACTGCAATTGCTAATAATCTCATTACAGGTCAAAAAGAAGTAATGGAATTATTATCCTGAAATCAGAATTAGATATTTAGTATGTTTCCCAAGAACTAAATTGTAATTTTGGCCAAATAAGATAACTGACATTCTTGCATCCAAAATAACAACAATAACATTTTAAATGGAGAAATGGCAAAACTAACTTCTAATTTCAGTTATGTAAATTATATTTAAAATATGAGGACAGGAAAGATCTTTTTAAAGTTGATCTTCAGTTAAGGCACCTGATAATTTTCTATAGACTTCATAATAACAAAGATAATTGGTCCAAAGTTAGAAAAATTACAGGTACTTTTTAAAGTTTAAGTGACTCACATGGCATAACTTTTTAAAGTTTAAGTAACTCGTGTTCTGTTGTATTTTGATATGATATCTTTGAGAGTTTCCAAATTAGTTTACAAAATAGTATCCATTTGTGGCCTCAAAGTCTGAACTGAATCTGAAATAAGAATAATTTGAGTATTTTATATGTATGTCAAAAATTTCAGCTAGATATAAATAAAATTATGCCTGATCATGCTAGAAAATGTTCCAGCAATTTTAAGTAAATAACCCAGACCTATCAGAAATCCAAAACAAATGTCGGCCAGATATTCAATAAGCAAAGATAAAAATGTCAGTGGAATTTGTTTCCTCCCTGGGATTACACTCTCATGTGAAGTATCTAATTTTGAAATGGCAAAGAGAGGAGAAATTATTTATGATCTGGCAAAATAAGAACAAACATTTATTTTGCAGCTTTTCATAAAATAAACCAAAAATGATGGCTTGAAACAGTTCTTGAAAAAGAATCAATATACAAATTTTAATTACAATCACTGCTATTATATACATTGGCTGCAAAAGTATGAGAAAATTGTGAAGAATGCCTCACGTTGATAAGTTTAGAGTCATTTTAAAGTGATATATTACCTCTTTGAAGGGATATTAATGCTGTTACTGAATTCTTAGGCCAACATGGTTTTGAAACAAGTGTATCAGTTACTTTTCTTGCTGATACGACCAATTACCTGACAAGACATAACTTACGGGAAAAAAATCTATTTATTTTGGCTCATGGTCTGAGGGTGTCAATCCACCATGACAGGAAAAGAATGATTCTCACCTGTGAACTTTCACCTCCCAGCTTCTCAGTGGAACAGAAAACAGAGCAGGAAAAATGTCAGCGCTCAATTGATCTATTGATCTCCTCCTCCTCCTCCTCCTCCTCCTCCTCCTCCTCCTCCTCCTCCTCCTCCTCCTTCTCCTCTCTAGAAAAGTTCTCATAGACACAACCAAAACTGTGCCACAATACCTCAGGTGTCTATTAATCCAATGAAATTGGCTGTCTAAGTTAACCACCACAATCACAACTTTTTGGCAACCTGATACTCAAATACTTCGCTCTAGACCATAACATTTCACTCCTGATTCTGAAAGTCTGTCCATCTCATAGTACGAAATACATTTAGCGTATCTCTAAGAACTCCCCAAGCCTCAGTAATCCCCAAAGCAGTCCAAAGTCGCTTGTAAGATAAGGAAATCACTTAACTTGTGTAGTCTAAGCAACTCACATGCTTCAAACATGTGGTCATTATGGCGCAAACAGCATTATTCCAAAGGGGAAGAATGGGGCCATATCAGGAAAGCTCTGGCTAAAACAAAACCAAAACCCGGCAGGACAAACACCAAACAGCAGCTTCATGTCCAGCATCTGGGACTCTTGACGGCATCCTCTGGGCTCCCATGGACTTGGGAAGCCTTGCTCATCTCGGTCTGCTGTTTGCTCGTGTGTCATCTCCCCTGGACTGTCTCCATTCGGTGCCAGCAGTTTCCTCAGTGAAACACCCAAAGCTCTGGCATCGCCGGGACCCTGAGCGCTCCACTGCAGCCTCACCCTCACCTTCACAATTTTGAACACAGTCCTCTCAAGAGTTCCATGCAAGGAATCTGATCCTGCTATACAATCCTGTTGCTTGGCCTCAGCAACAGCCTGGACCCTTAGTGCAAGCCCCCTCCCCCAGGCTTGTATGCCTGTAAAATAAGCAGTCGTTTGAATGATGCCAAGTCCTGCTGTTAGGCTGAGATATAGCCTGGTCCCTTTGGACCACAGCTACGGTCGTTTCTGTATACTGAACCTAAGAAAACATTTCTCAGGTCTTCTGTTCTCCAGCAGGGCTCCTAGAATGCTATTCCTTTCGGTCACTTTTTTTTTTTTTTCAGATGAAATTTACTTAGTATCCCGAAGATCTGCCTGGGTGGTATCTTGCCCATAAGGCATGCTTTCTGTTGTCCGAGTGCATTAGATACTTATTAATGGAACAATAATTACTAAGAACCACAGCCATCTCTGACCGCTTTATCCGCAGCCTTAACTCTCCTTCCCTCGCCGCACTAAATGTCTTTCATATCATGGGCTTTGGAAAATTCTCAGCCCTTAAAAGGTACTTCTTTCATATCACTCTTTCCTTTCCCTCTTTCCAGGACTCTTCGTAAAGTTAGACCTTCTCTCTTCCTTACCTCTCTTCTTCCAGAAGGGAGGAAGGGTTGGTTTTAATTCATGGTTTGAGGGTATAATGGACCATGACGGGTAAGGCAGAGTGGCAGGAACTTGAGGCAGCCTGTCACATTGTGTCCAGGACAAGAAGCAGGAGGGATGGATGCTGGAACTCTGCCCTCTTTGTACTTTTTATTACATCTGAGATTGTCATGACCCATTGCCCAAGCTCAGGGTGGGTTTTCCCACTCAGTTAAACCTCCCTGGAAATGTCTCCCTTACAGACATACTGGAGATTTATTTCCCAGGTTATTCTAAATTGTGTCAAGTTGACAATCAAGAATAGTAACCACATCTTCTTAGTAATATATTTATCTTATATGTTCCATTCTTTTGTCACTTCATGCTGCTTTGTGGATATTTTCTTTTGATTAACCTTCCAGTTTACTAACTTTCTCTTTGGCTCTGTTTACCCAATGATTTCCTCACTTTTGCTATTGCCTTTAAGGTCTAGAATATCCATGCTCTTATTTTTCAAGTCCACTATATTTTAAAAATGTTTTTCTGTTCTCTCTCTAAATATTTCAAACTTACCATTTAAAAACCTCTTTGAGTTTAGTAGGCATTATTTTAGTGTGCATACCCAATAGCTTCATAATCTACAATCTGGATATACTGGCTAGTTTTTGTTGTCACCTTGCCACA